GGGATGGAAAATGATAGTTTTCAAAATTTTTGTCAAATAAATATCTGAAAAGTGTGGCGTGCATTTGTATTCAAGGAACCGTATACACTATATTGCCAAAAGTATTGGGCCCGTCCTCCCAATCATGTGATTCAGGTGTTCCAATCCCCTCCATGGACACAGGTGTATACAATCAAGCCCCTAGGCATGCAGACTGCTTCTACAAACATTGGTGAAAGAATGGGTCGCTCTCAGGAGCTCAGTGACTCCAAGCGTGGTCCCGTGATAGGTGGCCACCTGTGCAATAAGTCCATCCGTGACATTTCCTGGCTACTAAATATTCCACGCTCAACTGTTAGTGGGATTATAACAAAGTGGAAGCAACTGGGAACAACAGCAACTCAGCCACCAAGTGGTAGGCCACGTCACATGTCAGAGCGGGGTCAGCGCATGCTGAAGCACACAGTGCGCAGAAGTCGCCAACTGTCTGCAGAGTCAATAGCTAAAGACCTCCAAACTTGGTGTGGCCTTCAGATGAGCACAACAGTGCGTAGAGAGCTTCATGGAATGGGTTTCCATGGTCGAGCAGCTGCATCCAAGCCTTCCATCACCAAGTGCAATGCAAAGCGTTGGATGCCGTGGTGTAAAGCACGCCGCCACTGGACTCTAGAGCAGTGAAGACGTGTTCTCTGGAGTGACCAATCACGCTTCTCTGTCTGGCAATCCGATGGGCGTGTCTGGGTTTGGTGGTTGCCAGGAGAACAGTACTTGCCTGACTGCATTGTGCCAAGTGTAAAGTTTGGTGGAGGGGGGATTATGGTGTGGAGCTGTTTTTCAGGGGTTGGGCTTGGCCCCCTAGTTCCAGTGAAGGGAACTCTTAAGGCGACATTTTAGACAATTTCATGCTCCCAACTTTGTGGGAAGAGTTTGGGGATGGCCCCTTCCTGTTCCAACATGACTGTGCACCAGTGCACAAAGCAAGGTCCATAAAGACATGGAGGAGCCAGTTTGGGGTGGAGGAACTTGACTGGCCTGCACAGAGTCCTGACCTCAACCCCATAGAACACCTGTGGGATGAATTAGAGCGGAGACTGCGAGCCAGGCCTCCTCGCCCGACATCAGTGCCTGACCTGACAAATGTGCTTCTGGAAGAATGGTCCAACCTTCCCATAGACACCCTCCTAAACCTTGTGGACGGCCTTCCCAGAAGAGTTGAAGCTGTTATAGCTGCAAAGGGCGGGGCCAACTCAATATTGAACCCTACGGACTAAGACTGGGAGGCCATTAAATGTCATGTGCGTGGGAAGGCCGGCCGACCAATACTTGGGGCAATATAGTATGTGTGTATATATATATATATATATATATATACATAGATAGATAGATAGATAGCGAGGCTGGGGGGGGATTTTTGCTGACACATAATATGCATACTTCTTGGGGGGGGGGCACAGTTTGGCATGTTCGCCCTGGGCTCTAGCTGACCCTGTCCCGGCACTGCTGTGGTGTATTGCATGAATTGTGCAGCTGAGCATCTGACAACTGATTAGATTTTTTTTAAGAGGTTTTGAAAGAATATTTTGATCAATGTTGCAAATGTTCCCATATAAAGCTTGATACCGTTGCACTGGTTATTCCTACAACACGTAGCAGATGTTATCTGTGAAACGCGTTGCCCACAAGACCTTATCATTCTACAGTGAAAAACAAAAGCGCACCAACCTCGCGCATTACCTCAGTATAAAAGAGCGATTTTATGAAATCGAGATATATACTCACAAAAATGGCAATATATAAGGCACATAAAATCCAAAACCGAAACACTGGAATAGGAGACACGTGCAAATCCCATCGAGAGGGGTAAAGCTGATACGTTTTGAAGGGAGATCCCTTCTTCCTCAAGGCTTAGATTAGCGAGAGGTTGTGAGAGGAAACATAAATATTCTGTCTTGGTATCAGAGGCATCCCAAGAGTTGTGTCACCCTGTGCAGTAACACATGGTGTCACCCCTCCAGAGAGGAAGGAGCGGCGCCAGTGTAGCGGTAAATGAGTATCCCGTGAAGATATGTACTCCCCTGAAGCAACTGCGCATGTGCCGCTTTCAGGCCGAAGAAGCCGATCGCCGACTTGAGCGCAGAGCTGCCACAGTAAACCCCTTACAGGCTGCAATCCGCTGAAGCTGATCCCGCGGATCACTATGCAGGTTGCGAGAGGAAACATAAATGTTCTGTCTTGGTATCAGAGGCGTCTCTAGGGTGGGTGTCACCCGGTGCGATAACACATGGTATCACCCCTCCAGAGAGGAAGGAGCGGTGCCATTGTAGCGGTAAATGAGTATCCCGTGAAGATATGTGTATTCCCCTGAAGCAACTACATGTGCCGGTTTCAGGCCGAAGAAGCCGATCTTCGACTTGAGCACAGAGCTGCCACAGTTAACCCCTTAAAGGCTGCAAACCGCTGAAGCTGATCTAGCGGATCACTATGGGTTGCAAGATCAGTTAACCCCGTATAGGTTGAGATCGGCAATTGGCTTCTTCGGCCTGAAACCGACACATGCGCAGTTGCTTCAGGGGATACATATCTTCACGGGTCGGGATACTCATTTTACCGCTACATCGGGGGGCAGCTGTCACTGTGCCGGGTATCCGGGATCACCCAATAACTGTCCAGGACCTTCACAGAGCCCAGGAGCTCTGCTGCCATCCTGCTCCTGCACCCCATGTGATGGTGTCACCCGGTGTGGCCCACACCCCCCTAGGGTCGCCACCGCTTGGTATATGGATACGATACCATGTATTGGGCTGTACGTTAGAACAGTGGCAAAAAAAAAAAAAAAAAAACAAATAAAAAAAATATGATGAAAAAATTAAAGAAGAAAATGAAGAAAAAAAAAAACAAAACAGTTGCACATAGAATACAAGTTTCTTGACAGATGCCATTTTTATTATCCGACACATTTTAAAAATAATAAACAATTTTTATTTTTTATTTATTACAGGTGCTTATAAAGTGACATCAATTTACGCAGCACTTTACATATATATCGTACATTCACATCAGTCCCTAACCCTCAAGGAGTGTACAATCTAAGGTCCCTAACTCACATTCATACATACACATACTAGGGACAGTTGAGAAATTTTAAAGCATTGTTTGACATTTTCATGTATTAACCACCTATGCTGCGGCAGATTCCCACCTCCCCCGCCTTCATGACCAGGCTGTTTTTTGGCTATTCAGAACTGTGCTACTTTAACCTCCCTAGCCGTCTGATTATGTCAGTATTTCTGTGCTCAAAGCGGTACTTTTTTTGCATGGAAATATGTATTTTTTTTATTGTAGGCCTGTCATTTTTAGGAATAACTCGCTGAAATCTGTCCGAACAAGAGTCTAGTAACATCCCGGGTATGATAAAATTTGAAACACAAAATCATAAATTATAATTTAATAAATAATCATAAAAAATAATAATATAATGATAAATTTAATTCAAAAATATAATCAAACCAAAAACACTGAAATTTGAAACAGAGAGCCAAGTTCGCACATCACTGAGCAAAGTCGCAGAATCGTTTTCAGTGTCTGATGATGACTTTCCCCACGAATCATTATCACTCAATTCTGCAAGTTGTTCTAATTTACTATCACTATTCTCTAGCTGGTCTAAAACCGATTTTGACCTAAAGGGACGCTTTTTGGACGCCATGGATGTTTCTCAGTTTCCAGGCAGAAAGAACAGTAAAAATGCAGGCAGGGCACAGGACAAAGCACTCGGGACAAAATGTATGTGAAATGGTTTGATACAGTAATGTTATACTATGAGATTTTAGTGTATTTAGTGAATGTCACTTTTTCACATTTTTTTAATTTCCCGCCAGTTCCATCCCCCGTATGTCCCGACGTCGCAGGGAACGGAACCCAGAAGACGGATGCCAGCATTGGCCGGAGGACATTGCCGGGGACACTGCAGGGGGGACATCGCGGGTGCGCAGGACAAGGTAAGTGAGCAAGAGATCCCAGAGCAACGCTGCAGGGTATTCCCGAGTGTAGCTCAGGCTTACCGCTTGTGGTGCTGAAACTTTACCCCGAGCTACACTCGGGAATACCGCCAGGGGGGTTAACTGGCAATTGAACAGTCATGCAACGCTGCATATAAATTAAATTTATATCCTTTTTTTCACACAAAAAGAGCATTCTTTTGGTGGTCTTTGTTTTTAATAATTATGATATAAATAAAAAAAAGACTGATATTTTTGAAAAAAAAGTATACTTTCGGCTTAAAAACATATCCAAAAAAAAAAATTAAAACTCAAATTTCTTCATAATTTCAAGCCAAAATGTATTCTGCTACGTCTTTGGTGAAAAAAAAAAAAAAAATCCCAACATGTGTATATTGATTGGTTTGTGTGAAAGTTATAGCGTACAAACTATGGGATATATACTGGAATTTTTTTTTTTAATATTAGTAATGGCGGTGATCAGCAACTTATAGCGAGACCATGCGGCGGGCAATCTGACACTAACTGAACACTCTGTGGGAACTGACTGCCACTGACATCACCGGTGACACCAATACAGGGATCAGTGATAATATTATTTGCTGTACTGACACTGGCAGGGAAGGGGTTAACATCTAGGGGCAAGCAAGGAGTTACCTGTGTGCCCAACAATCTGTAATGTGCGGATTATGTGCTGCTTTTGCTATGCGACGTGTTTGTTTTTCTTCCCTGCAAAACTGCAGACCGACCAGATTCATGGGTTGTTTCTACCTTGATGTCTAATCAGACTTCCTTTATTAGTAAAACATTTCCCACACTCCCAAGATGAATAGGGCCCTCACGAATGTGAGTTCTCTGGTGATAAAGGAGGCTTCTTTTTTCATAAAATGATTTCCCGCACTCTGGACACATAAAAGGACGCTCACCTACGTGTCTTCTCTGGTGCGCGAGGAATTTTGCTTTCTCAATGAAACCTTTCCCACAGATGGAGCACGAAAAAGGACGCTCGTCCACGTGAATTTTCTGGTGCCTACGAAGCTTTTCTCTCTCGCTGAAACTTTTCCCGCACTGTGAACATGAAAAAGGACGCTCACCTGTGTGAACTCTCTGGTGAGTGAGAAAGCTTGCTTTCCTGGAGAAACGCTTTCCGCAATCTGAGCACAAAAAAGGATATTCACCCGTGTGAATTCTCTGATGTGTACGCAGCTCTGTTCTCCGAGAGTAACATTTCCCGCAGTCTGAACACAAATAGGGACGTTCGCCTGTGTGACTTCTCTGGTGTCTACGCAGGTCTCCTTTTTGAAGGAAACATTTCCCGCACTCTAAACAAGGGAAAGGACGCTCGCCTGTGTGACTTCTCTGGTGCGTAAGGAGTACGCTTTTCTCAGTGAAAGATTTCCCGCACTCTGAACAGGAAAAGGGACGCTCCCCTGTGTGAATTCTCTGGTGGACAAGAAGGTTTGTCTTGTGAATGAAACATTTGCCGCACTCCAAGCACGAGTAGGGGCGCTCACCCGTGTGACTTCTCTGGTGTATAAGGAGTGCTCTGTTTTCAGTGAAACATTTCCCGCACTCTAAACATGAAAATGATTTCTTGCCAGTGTGGGCTCCTTTATGTCCTAAAGAAGATTCCTTGGGATTTGGTGGATCTGTTAATCTCTTGGGACTGTGGATAATTGAAGTCATAGTTTGTGAGTGATCAGAAGATTCCTCAGGAAAAGGCTGATCCATGGATCCCTCCAAATGAGAAGGTCTTTGTTGTGTAATCTGAGTGATGAGTGTAACTCCTGGAGAATTCTGTGCCATGGCTTTATCTTCTACATTATAATCTGGGGATTTAATAAAATATCCCTCCGAGGTATTTTTATTGTACATACAGTGCCCATCTGTTGAAAAAAGAGAATTTGAAAGTGGTGCATGGCATGAATGTGCTGGGGGGAGGGGGGTTTGTTGAAAGGCAATAAGAACTCGAAGTCCGAAAATCAGTATAGAATAGCCTGCGGCAAAGTGAAGTGACCTCTGTCATTTATAAAAGGAACCGCAGATAGCGCCAATTAAGTGCAGTGTGTGTATATATAGAATACTTTTATTAAAGAATAACAAGTAGAATGGAGATGGACCTTTCATATGGTGTACAGTTTCTCCTCCTTACTTGTTGGGAACATGACGTCATATTGAGGAATGGAGATGGACCTTTCATATGGTGTCCAGTATCTCCTCATTTGTTGGGAACATGACGTATATTGAGGAATGGAGATGGACCTTTCATATGGTGTCCAGTATCTCCTCCTCATTTGTTGGGAACATGACGTTATATTGAGGAATGGAGATGGACCTTTCATATGGTGTCCAGTATCTCCTCCTATTTGTTGGGAACATGACGTTATATTGAGGAATGGAGATGGACCTTCCATATGGTGTCCAGTATCTCCTCATTTGTTGGGAACATGACGTTATATTGAGGAATGGAGATGGACCTTCATATGGTGTCCAGTATTATCTCCTCCTCATTTGTTGGGAACATGACGTTATATTGAGGAATGGAGATGGACCTTCATATGGTGTCCAGTATCTCCTCCTCATTTGTTTGGACATTGAGTGGTGAAATAGGTACATTGATGACATTCCTACTGTCAGTTGTTAAAATTTCATAATCTTTTTCTTACTGAAGGGTGTGAAGTTCTCTATGTTGAACAAGACAGTACATGATTAGTAAAAAAAATGCTTACACTTGCTGCTGGGAATGACAATTTTTTCCCCCTGGACAAAACAAACTCTGAAAAACGTAATAGGGGTTTTCCTGTCCTCCAATGGATCAACTGTGGGTTTGTGATTACTTAAGGGTGATGTGTCATTTTTCATCCTATGTACCTTATACACATAGAAGCAAAATGCAAATATATATTGGGAATCCAGAGGCCGGGGACATCTCTCTGGTGGGTTCCCATTACTGGATCCATCTGTAGGAAACACACACACTGACTGAATGCATTGTTTCTATGTGTTTATCAGATGATGGGGGATCTAGGTGGACCCTCCGTACTGCTCTCTCCTTTACAATAAAGTCTCCTCTTACCCGGTGATGTGAGGGGCGGCTGATTGTCCATCATGACGTCCTTGTAGAGGTCCTTGTGTCCTTCTAAATACTCCCACTCCTCCATGGAGAAATAGACAGTGACATCCTGACACCTTATAGGAACCTGACACACACAATGATACAGTCACCATCCAGACACATCCCTTGTCTGTTACTGGAGAATGTCCCAGAATTCCCAGCACCGCTCACCTCTCTTGTCAGCAGATCAATGATTTTCTGGGTGACTTCTAGAATCTTCTTGGCACTGGTTCCTTCTGTTGTCAGGCAGTGAGGTGGAGGCACTGTGATGGCTGATGTCCTGTGAAGATGGCTGCTGGGCAGTAAAGGCTCACCACATATTTTCCTCACTACTTTATAATTCTGTGTATACAAAGAAAGTAACAATTTTCACTACAGACTTCCCAGAATCCTCCTCACCTCTCCGGTCAGGTCTGTGTTTTATTAATAGAGATCAGAGTGATGTCATGTGACCTCCCAGAATCCTCCTCACCTCTCCGGTCAGCAGATAAATGATCTCCATGGTGAGGTCCAATATCCTCTCACTTGTCTGACTCTGGTGCCCATCCATCTTCATTGAGATGGGCAAAAGATCTATACCGGACTTTCCTCTCTGTAGACGGATAATAAACTGAGAATTATCTGGACTGTACCGGGATGAATAATGTCAGCAGAGTTCCTCCAGAGTTCTGACATCTCAGATGTCTCCATGTACTGCAATACAGGAAACTTTCATTTCACTGAAGGTAAACCAGAGATTCCTTTTAAAGTACAACTCCAAGCAATATGTTGCTTGTTCTGTGTGCACAGTGGCCAGGAATGTCTATATTGTGAGCCCCGTCCCATTAGTGTTACTGGACACTGCATGTACCGTACCCATAGATGTCACCCTGACAGCCAAATCCACCAAAATAGGCCTGGGGGACATCTGTGGTGTCCATTATCTCACAGTTATGAGAGTCAACAACCCTGAGACAGCTTTATGGAAGATGGATAAATGGTTCTATATTTAGGACGTATCCGGTCTATAAACCAGAGGCTCTGGATGGACGGTTGGATAAATGGTTCTATATTTAGGACGTATCCGGTCTATAAACCAGAGGCTCTGGATGGACGGTTGGATAAATGGTTCTATATATAGGATGTATCCGGTCTATAAACCAGAGGCTCCGGATGGACGGTTGGATAAATGGTTCTATATTTAGGACGTATCCGGTCTATAAACCAGAGGCTCTGGATGGACGGTTGGATAAATGGTTCTATATTTAGGAGGTATCCGGTCTATAAACCAGAGGCTCTGGATGGACGGTTGGATAAATGGTTCTATATTTAGGATGTATCCGGTCTATAAACCATAAAGGATGTCACAGTGACTATGGTGGAGGAAGAGGACAGACATCACGGTGACTATGGAGGAAGAGGACGGACATCACGGTGACTATGGAGGAAGAGGACGGACATCACGGTGACTATGGAGGAAGAGGACGAACATCATGGTGATTATGGAGGAAGAGGACGGACATGACGGGGGGGGGGGGGGTTACTGGGTGTGAATACAAAATAATACATTACCTCCTTTGCAGCCAGTTCCAGCAATGTCTCCTCTCTACTTCCTCTTGACTCACCTCTCACCTGGAACTTCATGTTCATAAACATCACTTCCTGTCTAAAGATTACATCACTTCCTGCTTCACTTTTTGTACGGTCTACTGACTACGATTATTCTTCATCTTGTGTTGAATATCAATACTGCAGTCTACATTATGTTTTATCACTTTGCTCGCTGCTTTGTGCTCCATTCTTCTAGTATATAACATCTATGAATAGACAGGCAGATTATATCTCAGATAATATCCAAACATAGAATCCTGTATCGTGCGCTCTCTCTTTCAATATATATATCTATATAGTGAGGGGGGGACTCACTTCTGGGAGATACTGTATGTGTGTGTATATGTATACATATATATATAATATATTTTATATATATTGTATACAGTCCGAGGGAGGGGGGAAACACTTCTGGTAGATACTGTGCACATATATAGATAGATATATTTGTACATTGTATACTGTCCGTTAGAGTGGTGGACTCACGTCTGGGAGATACTGTGTGTATATATACAGTTGTGTTCAAAATAATAGCAGTCAGACATCACTAACCTGATCAATCGCTGTTTTTGGTAGAAATGATATTTCTACATGGCAAATAATTTACTAGCAGGTGTAGTAGAGTAATAGAAATCCAACAGACCCAACAGTCATGACATGCATGCTGCTGATTCTGTGTAATTGAATCACTAATTGAAAGGGGCATGTTCAAAATAATAGCAGTGTGGAGTTCTAATAGTGAGGTCATTCATTCTTTGAAAAACAGGTGGCAATTATTGCCCTTATTTAAGGAAGGAAGGCAGCAAATGTTGTACATGCTGGTTACAGTGCATTTCTCTCTGAAATTCTGAGGAAAATGGGTCGTTCCAGACATTGTTCAGAAGAACAGCGTACCTTGATTAAAAAGTTGATTGGAGAGGGGAAAACATATAAAGAAGTGCAGAAAATGATAGGCTTCTCAGCTAAAATGATCGCAAATGCTTTAAAATGACAACCAAAACCTGAAAGACGTGGAAGAAAGCAAAAAACTACCATTCGAATGGATAGAAGAATAGCCAAAATGGCAAGGACTCAGCCAACAATCAGCTCCAGGAAGATCAAAGAAGGTGTAAAGTTACCTGTGAGGACTGTTACAATTAGAAGACGCCTATGTGAAGCCAAGCTATCTGCAAGAAGCCCCCGCAAAGTCCCACTGTTGAAAAAAAGACGTGCTGAAGAGGTTACAATTTGCCAAAGAGCATACTGACTGGCCTAAAGAGAAATGACGCAACATTTTGTGGACTGATGAAAGTAAGATTGTTCTTTTTGGGTCTAGTGGCCGGAGACAGTTTGTCAGACGACCCCCAAACACTGAATTCAAGCCACAGTACACTGTGAAGACAGTGAAGCATGGTTGCGCAAGCATCATGATATGGGGATGTCTCTCATACTACGTGTTGGGCCTATTTATCGTTTTTTGCATACCAGGGATCATGGATCAGTTTGAATACATCAGAATACTTGAAGAGGTCATGCTGCCTTATGCTGAAGAGGAAATGCCCTTGAAATGGGTGTTCCAACAAGACAACGACCCCAAACACACCAGTAAACGTGCAACATCTTGGTTCCAGACCAACAAGATTGACGTTATGGAGTGGCCAGCCCAATCCCTGGATCTTAATCCAATAGAAAACTTGTGGGGTGACATCAAAAATGCAGTTTCTGAGGCAAAACCAAGAAATAGAGAAGAACTGTGGAATGTCGTCCAATCATCCTGGGCTGGAATACCTGTTCACAGGTGCCAGAAGTTGGTTGACTCCATGCAACACA